ACATGTCATCTGCAAAACATAAATGATTCATTCCCAGACATCTGCATTTTGGGTGAAACTAGAATCCCTCTTGTGTTGTGACGATCCACTTCATTAATCTCGAGAAATACTCCACGCATTTTACAAAGATTAATGAATCCCCTTGTCTCAAATAATGATTATTTTACTTTAATTGTTAAAATCTCTATTGATATAATATTTTCAGGTTACTTGGATTGAGCATATGGAATATGATGAAATTTTTGTTGATCATTTGTATCGCCCTTTAATCAGAGCCGGTCTAGGATTCGGCGCACAAAGGTGGATGTCCTCTTTGCAAAGGCAATCTGAGTTGTTGAGAGTAATGGCATCATTTGTCAATTCCACTGGTAATCATGAATATTTTATCATATTGTTCCAAGTCCTTACACATTTTAATACCAATTAATTTTGATAAATTTTTTATTTTGGACAGTTGATCCAAAGGGGGAGATAGGGATGGGAATATTGTCTCAACGCATGACGCGTAGTTTTTGTGCGGTAATTTGCGCAACCTCTCACAAGTGGATAACAATTCAAAAAGAAAATGGAAAAGATGCAAATCTGATGATGAGGAGGAATATTAGTGACGCTGGTGAACCTATCGGTGTGATTTTAAGTGCCACAAAGACGATCCAGTTACCGATAAAATCACAATGTTTATTTCAGTTCTTCACTAATAAAAATTTGAGGAGGCAATGGGATATCTTATCCTGTAGTGGTGCCATGGAAAATATTATCCATATTAACAAGGATGAAAATCTTGAGAGTAGTGTCTCTCTACTGTGTGCTAATGTGAGTATCACTTATTTTAGAAAAACATGACAGTGTTATGTTATTGCTTTGATTTATGAAATAACATTTTGTTTTGATGTGAAAATGCAGGGGGGTGCTAATGAAAATAACATGATGATATTTCAAGATACTTGCACGGATGCGACAGGTTCTCTTTTAGTCTATGCAATAGTTGATTCTTCAAAAATGAACACAGTGATGAAAGGAGGGGACCCTTCTTGTGTGGAGCTCTTGCCCAATGGAATTTCAATCCTTCCTGATTTATCTGCAAATAATAACAAGGAATTTGGTAGTGGATCACTGGTGACCATCATGTTTCAAATGTTGGTCGACAATATCTCCACAGCAGATCTTCCACAGAAGTCAATCGTAGACGCAAATGACATTATCTCGCATACCATTCATAAGATTAAAAGTGCTCTCTTAATTTGATTCATAGAATTAAGACGGATATTCAATATCAAACTTGTGTGTCAAAACCTACATAACAAATAAACTTGTTTGGTATCAACTCGGTTTCTTTACAGATTAAGAGCTAGCTCTTTATGTGTGTGTGTTTTTCGAATGATGAGATATTTTGTATCGTTCTTGTTTTTTTGTCTAGAGTCTTGAATAACATTACAATGTTTTTAATGTCAGTAATAGTATACATGACAGTATTGTATTATGTTATTTTGAGTTTATGTAGGAACTATCTTTTTGATGATTTATTGCTTGTTTGATTATTATTTTTCTTACTATAACTAGTCTTAATTTCAAGCATGATAAAAAATGAGTGAAAAAAAAAAGGTATGAATCCCACATAAAATGGTAAGTATTAACATTTGCGAGCGAGGATTATACTAGTTTTTAGGATTCACATTTTGAATATTAAAATATCAGAATATTACATCAAAAATGATTATTAGTTGTGATTAATTTTTAATTATCATTAAATATATATTTTTAGCGGCAATTAACACTCTTTGTATATGTCTCTAAAGTCTTTAGCAACATTGGTTTTAATGACACTTAACTAATGTCATTAAGAACTTTACCACTCTTTATTAATATCAATATTTAATACAGCTAAAAGTTATTTTTATTACCATGAAAATAAATTGAAATTATAGTAAAGGAAACCAACTTAAGCTCACCCCAAAAAAAGTACATTAAGTAGCTTTTGGTGTAAAATATTATTGTAATACAAAATGATTAAAACTGATGAATTTTAAGATGAAAAAAAGATACTTTCAACTATATGGACAAGTTTGAGTCTAAATTATATGTTAAACCTTTTCATTAGCAAAACTCTCAATGATAATTATCATTCCCCAATTTTCGTTTATATTCTTATTATGATTGGAACAAAATTAATGGCTCGTGAGTTAAAATTACATGTGAAACAAGTAGCCAAATATATTTTTTAACTAATATTTTTATATGATTATTAGGATTTAATATTTTCAAATGCAAGTGATATAGAAAATTTTTGTTGGATGGGTACCAAAATCTCGACATTCAAAATAGAAAATCTTCCAAATTATCATATTGTTTTAGTTCAAAATTAGTCTTGTTAGGACCGGAAATAAGCAGGTGTAAACGCGGAAGCTAGCAAAGCAAACCTCAAAAGACCACAAGTAAGAAGACAACGAGAAATATACCAAAAGACACAAAGATTTAACGTGGTTCGGTCAATCGACCTACGTCCACAAAGAAGATGAACAATCCACTATAAACATGAGAGTACAAAATATAGAGAGAAACAACCTCAACCAATTCACTCGGAATACATGGGAGGTTCACACAAGTGATAACGTATCAAGCTTGTGACCCATAAATTCTCCCCCCTAACCAAAAACTCTCAAAGCCCTCAAGACTACATTGTGAATGCTGATTAAGTTAGAAGGAACATGTCTCTATTTATAGAGTCCTAAACCTTTTCCTACCAAAAAAAGGATTAGTCAATTCAAAACCTTTTCCTAAAAGGAAAACCTATTTATGGTAAGAAATCAGGGCAAATAAAACCCAACAGTCTTGAGATCAATGATCCTTCTATTGAAATCAATTTCTTGACTTTTCTTAATGTAACATTTTGGCCTTAGAAAGAGCTAAATTTAGAAAGAACTAATTTGGAAAGAGCTAATTAGAGATTTTGTTCAAGTCAAGCTTAAGTTGTGAGTTTGGATGAACTTCGAATGATCATAACTTTCAGTACAGGATAATTTAGATGGCACGTAAGATATCACATAAAAGATTTCTGAAACCTTTTTCCAATGCCACAAAGTTAGCTAAAATTCGAGTTAGAATGAGGGGATATGCCTGTTTGAATTCTGTATGTCCAATTTAAGGAAACTTACCCAAATTAATGAGGGTATTTTGGTCTTTTTCTTACACCATCAGCTTTAAACATTTTTAGTAGTATTTTAGGGGTCTAAACTGACTTGGATCAATTTTCACAATCATTATATATCATATCATATAAATATATAAAGGAGAACCCTAGGCCCGCCTATGTGGTGCCATCACAAGCTAAAATTATCTTTAAATTTGCTTTATTTTCAAAACTAGTCTTCCCTTTTCATGAAAAGTTGTGACATTTATGAAAAGTTGTAACATTTATGAAGAGTTGCAACTTTTATGAAAGGTCATGACATTTTCGAATGATTGCAACTTTTTCAAATAGTTATAACCTTTCTGATAAAGCACAACTTTTCATTATTTATGGTATGTATTCTAGAAATTCTTTATAATTACAAGTTTATCGAATTCTTCTTGTAAAGTGACAAGTTTATTTGATTCATGCAGGCAAAGAATCATTTTTGCTTCTTAATTTTGATTCTTCTAAATTCAAATTTAATTATCTTCATTTATATGATTTCGTCTTTGAGAATCTCATCCAATTATCTGATAGACGTACCTCATCTCTATTTTAATTTATTTCCATTATTGACATGCATAATGTGAACACAAAAAGTGATAAGTTCTAAAACTTGCCTTACGTAACACAAGTGCAAAATACAATATAAAATACCCTAAAGTCCAAAGTGCACCTAACTGCAGCAGAAAGTAAATACAAACGTTTGACACCACATGATTAAATCCCTAAAGTATCATTTAATCTTTCTCAAGAGTTAATTTATGATCAATATGATGTTCCTACAACCATACGAGTAATTGGATAAGAATAGCTAATTATGACATGTGGTCTCAACTTATTTCTAAGCAAATCTATTAAAGAAGGGGTAGCTCCTTGATTTTATGAAAATTTCTTTTATGGAATCCTAATCCATTTTTTCAAGAAAAGCTAAGATATTAAGACACAGGCTAATGTTTACAACTATCAGTCGAACACTATTGCAATAGGATTTTTTTTTGTATAGAGATATAAAAATACGAAAATTCTAATAAACATAAAAGAATTGATTAAAATAAGATATATACTTAAATAAATGTGAAACCCATTTCAAAACAATTAAAATGGTCGTATGTTACAACTTACAGGCTTTTGATTTTCTCAGGAAGGTGTAAAGAATTCCTATTAGGAATTAACTTAAAAAGACGTTCATGATGTTTTATGGTTTTGAATTGTAACTTTGTTTTAAGAATAAGTTCTAGTTAATAGTTGTCTATCTGGTTTTTGTTGTGATTCGCAAGGACATTTTTATAAAATTTTATAAAATTACTATTTACCCCTTTACAAGACCCCAGTCTTTTCTAATTAGTTTGTGAAGCCGTTGGTTTTGAATTTGGTTGAAAATTTATCGTTTTTAGAAGTTTTGGAGTTTTGAAAGGTTTAATTTAGTTAATAGTGGTCTTTTGTATCAATCAGTTCACAATCATTATTTTAGTTTAGAACTCAAGTTGTTGTAAAATCTTGTTATTTGCCAATTAAAATCTCAGATTTTAATGTTAAAATCTATAAATAATCAAATGGAAAAGAAGTTTTAGGGTTACAAAAGCTTACCAAAAGATTTAGCATAAGAAATCTCTTCAAAATCGTGTCCAAGAATTTTACAAAGCTTAAAATGGGGAAAAGTAGCTAAACTCAAAACCTGGTAAGGCAGGGCAAACCTCAGTGTTGAGTCTAGGCAGATCTCATTTGATGGGGCAAACCTCAGCATGGGCGTTGAGTCCAATGAGGGGGTGTATATCCCAACTTAAGATTAGAATTGAGTCTCACATTGGCAAAACATAAGAGAGATGTTGGGTATATAAGTAGGCTGACCTTACAAACTAGTGATGCATTCAATGTCGTGTGGGCCTAGGCCCAAAGAGGACAGTATCACTAGCTGGTTAGGCCAATACAAGTTCATAAACGCAAACCCCGAAAAAAATAGGGGTCTCATTTTTGCGGCCATCGCGATTGTGACCCTACATCCGCTTAAGTGAACCCCACCTAAAAGTAGTCCTTTGTTTTCATGAATAGGATCTCGCTTTCATGATCCTCACCATCGCGAGGTACCCTTCGTGAAAGAGAAGCACACGAACATAAAAAAAAAACTAGCAAACACTCAAAATATCGAAAGGGTACTGGGATTTGTTCAGAACCCCATACACAACTCATATGTGATAATTGACTATACTCAACATTATGGATTCAATGAAACCTTCAAAACACAAATATAATGTTTCCTTAACCCAAAACTCATGAAAGTCACAAGAAACCACTATAATGCCTAAAAAGGTCAAATCAAGATCGAGAGCTCTGAAAATTCACACAACACCTCACTTAGGCTTAAAATGATTCCTCAGATCCAGTGACACTCTCAGAATTTTGATTCGAGCATCCAAACATCGAATGTTGAGCATCCAAACCTCGAATGTTGACCAAAGGCTAAAATTTCACAAATTTTCAACTTAAGACCTTAAATCCTCAAAGACTCAAAATCTGAAATCGGAAACTATCATAGACCAATTTTCACATTGCGAAACGGATGAAATCGATAGAATTTCATTCTGGTACTCGAAACTCCAACAGACACCAAAAACTCATTTTTAACAACTTTAGCCTTTTAAACTCAAAACATTCAAAATTCACAACCTTTTTACTCAAAAACTAAAACCAACTTCCAAAACTCTCTGTGTAGTAACTTCGGGGTCAATATCGAGAGGGACAAAATGATAATTTATGAAAAAATTTAAAAATGACCAACCGGATCATTATAAATGTGTTCAAGCATTTTAGTATCCGTAATTTGAGGAAGCTCTTGCAACCACAAATTCATCCTTGAAATTACTTGTACACATCGAAAATGCATAGCATTGATTAGACATGTGGATAATTCAAAATAACAATTGGACCACCAAAGGATATGGTCCTGTCTTAATTAGCGGTCTCAAATTCAAGTTTTGGGTATGAAAGTCCTTAATAGGGAGTAGTTCCCCCCAATAGGGACTTACACGACGCGAATTTGGAATAATCACCAAAATAACCTGACATTAAAGTTGATACCTAACACAGAGCATCTAGCGAGAAACACAAAAAGTAACAATGGGAAGTGAATTGACAATGTCTATGATTTTATGGGAGGGCCTGCTAACATGGTTAAATTCACTCTTGAAATTCAAACGGTACCAAATAAATGAATAAAATAAGTGAATTCTGTATGATAAACTTAATGTTGGATGGACCATGGGTGAAATTTATTGAAGCTGAAACTAATGTTTAAAAAGTTAGTGGCTCTGGAAGTCTTCCATATTATTGTAACAACTATAAAGAGTTAATATT